GCGGCGGAGACCGAACAACGGGAGGGGCGGCGGCTTACCAACGGCGGTGGCGGCGACGCATGGCGCAGCTCTCGGCGCGGCGCGGCGGCACCGAGGGCGGCGGCGCAACGGCACGAAGGCGGCGGCGCGGTGGAGAGGAAAGAGGGGAAAATGGGGGAAGAGGAGGTAAGGTGGTGCGGGGTGAAATGGCGACCGGGAAGGGGATTTATAAGGCGCGGGGAGAGGTGGCCGGCCCTAATGGCGACGCGACGGCGCGGCGCGTGGGGTTCGAGGCGGCTATGGCGACGGGCGCGCGGCGCGGCAGGCGGCATCGGCGACGCGACGGGTGGGCGGCGCGGCGCGGGGCTCAGCGCGGCTTGGCACAGGGCTCGGCGCGACGGCAACAGGCGACGCGACGGCGACAGGCGACGCGACGGCGACGCGGCGCGGCGCGGCAGCGGCGCGGGGCGCGAGGCGGCAAGCGCGCGGCGCGAGGCGACGGGACGGCGGCGTGGCGACGCGACGGCGCGACGGGACGGCGCGCGGCGCGGCAGCGGCGATGGCGACGGCGCGCGGCGGCAGACGGTGATGGGACAGTGCGGCGACGGCGACGCGACGGCATCGGCGGCGCGGGGCTCGGGGCCGGCTAGGACCACATCAAGCACCTTGTTGGCAATGAATAGTGCTAGATTGTTATTAACCCTAATTTAGTCTATTTTCTATTTAAATCTCGCCTTATAAATTCTAACTTTTGCACAAATCAAGTTTACTCAATATTTGTGTTGCTCTAACCAAAAGATTCGCCCTAGATTAACATTACCCATATTTTATTTTTATATAATTTACTTAATTTAATTAAAGTTAATTCTTATTCCATCGCACTTAAATTTAATTGATACTAATATGGTCGCGATAATATTTTTATTTATTACCAACCTCACCTAATCTTTATTTTAAATTATATTTTAATTATTTATTTTGCCAGTTTAATTTTAGGGTTTATTCCTAATTAATTATTCTTTATTCGCGATCAACGAACTCCGAAATCAAAATCCAATGAAATAGGTGAATAAAATCGGCATGATGCAATTTGTTTAAAAAGTTTTTGAAAATCCGCATTTTTAGAGTTTTGATTTTGTTGGTCGAATTTTCAGGGTGTTACAAACTCCTCATCAGCTGGATCCATCTCATCTTCTTCAGCAACTGGGGGATTATTTATATAGAGTAAGGGTGAGTACAGGAGTACTCAGCAAGTCATAACAATTAAGTGTTTAATGAAGGCTTCAAAGGAAAGGCTGCTCATTTTCACAATTGTTTTTAGTTAAACTCCTTTTTAAACAACTAAGTAAGTGCTTCTCAAATTACACGGATGAGACAGTGTGTCTCGTCCGATCGGAGTATGTGTAATGTATCAGTCTTTGAATTGATTCAAGGTTGGCACCCAACCGTCAACTTTCAAACAGCCACCCGAGCCTAGCTGATCCCGTCAGTCACAGATATTTCAAACAACGATCCCATTCCACAACAGCAATTTCACAAAGCAGTAGTCAAACAAAACTACGCTAAGGAATCACCTCACGTCCGCTCATGACCGTGGGTACGGCTGTTCGAACAGTTTAATAACCTCTGCAGAGGGGGTACACTTTATCCACACGACATTACTAACCCGGATCACCCAGCCCGTGCAGAATAGCCACGTCTGGTGAGCTTGAGGCTTTCATGACAAGGCATTTCGAAATCCGACACAGGTTTACCATATGCCAAAGAGAGGGGTCCCAGACCATACTACGCCAGGAGGCCCGGGGGTTCTCCTCGACTCCACCCCGTTGAATCCACTTGTCTCTTGGTATCAAGGTTCCCCTGATTAGCTAATTACTCAGCCAGGGGCGTCCCATTTCACCCATGTGGTCGCACTTATCTTATGTTCGGATGAAATTCCAAAGGAAACGGTCCTTAAGTGCAAGAGCGGGAAACTGTACTCCCGGTAAGTCCCCTGGTCCGCGATTTTGGAAAATTATTTAGTTCGCAAGCACCGATCCAAGTGTCGGGTTTTTCAAGTCTTTTGTAAAACCCCAAATTTTACCCATTGTTGGATATTTTTAAATTTGAGAGGAGTGTTCCGAGGCGCGTGCCCGAAGGCCTATGCATCGAAGCATAGCAGTTGACAAGGGTGGTTTAAGTGTTCAATAATTCAAGGAGGGTAATTGCAGCAATTAGGATTGGAGCCAGCAGGCTATCTCGCAACCGCGGCCAAAATACTCGTGTTACTCCTAGTCATGCATTATTTGCTGAAAAGAAATACTTAGATTTAAATTATAGGTGCAAGATGATCAAAGGTGACTTGCCTTTCTCGAGATCTTGAGCTTGATCCTCGAAATCCGCGCACCGCGGGTCTTCGGGCTCCCAAGCTATACGCGAAACGAGACAAATCAACAAACGCGAAAATAAAGCCCTATTATTGACCTCTAAGCGTGCCATTAGATAGATCTCGAGATTTGAGAAAATTTGGAAGTGAACAGAGTCGATCGGATGCACGGTTGCGAAGATATGGAATTTCTAAGATTATTTGATTTTTGGTCTAAAGGGAAAATGATTTATTTAAACCCTTTTTGAAAAGAAAAAGAAAGAGGGAGGGGGAATAGACTTTCCTCGGGCGGTTTAGGCGCGGGACAAGAGGAGAGGCACGGCTCGGGTGAGCTTAGTTGGCCGGCCGGCACGGAGAGGCGGCCCAAGCGGCACGCGGGAGGGAGAGGGAGAGCCGGGTGGAACGGCTCGGGCACGCGTTACAGAGCCGCGGCAGGGCAGCGCGGCACAGGCGGCGCAGGCAGCTGACGACGACGGCGATCGCGGGAGCGCGCGCGAAGCAACGGCGTGCGATTTCGAGGGCGAGAGTTCGACGCCGGGAGGGAGAAAATGGAGAGAGAGATGAACGAGAGAGAGAGAGAGCTCTCTCGGCTCGGAGTCGACCGCGATCACGTGCGGCGCACGTGGGGAAGAGAGACTGAGGGGGAAACGAGCTGAGAGAGAGAGAGAGTAGGCCGAGGAGGAAAATCGGCCCAGCAAATATGAGGGAGGCAAACTAGACTTTTGCATAGGAATTTGAATTGGGGATTCGAATTTGACAAATCGGGGATCTGAGATCCGAGACTGGCATGCACACATACTTCAAACAAACAGCGGACTTTCACAATTAGGGTTTTTAAGTTTTAATTTTCCCGCTATGCGCTACGACGGAAAGGGCGCTACAGGAGCCAAATCCCTTTTACTGTGCCGCACGAGATTGGACCAGACCGCTCGCTGCGCTTGCTGCGACGATTCCAGAATCGGCAACCTCGATGCTTTCACTCCACTCGATGCAGCGATGCTCCTAACCAGAGCTCCTTTCTCCGCCTCTGATGCGCCAGACAAATGTGGGAAGTGGATGCCTACCTGATTAGGCCGAGTATTCTACGCCATGCGCGTGCTCTGCAAGGCCACGCCGGTCTGGGCACCAAGGCTACGATGCAGTCGACGACCGCTGGTGTGCAGAAGAAACCTAGCGACGTCGAGATATCCGGTATGCAAATGGATGCGGGCACGCTTGGAGGTAGAACAATAGGAGGGCAGAGCAAGATATTTCGGGCAAAAGGATGAGCTCAAGCTTGGAAGTCCAACAATGGGGGTGAGGTGCACAGCAAGGTAATATGGCCAAACCACAGCACACAACCGATTTAGGAAAAGCGATGCACACCGTAAAAACCACTGGCTAATACAATGCACGGGAGGAAGATGGAAAGTTGGCGACGGCGACCTAACTCTCGTCAGGAACGCTGCCAGCCCACGTTATTGACTTCTGCAGTCCTATCCGCGTGCTGCACAGTGCATTGGAGCACTACCTCCGCAGCTAGCACTACCAGCCCTAACGAGCACACCCTAAGATCGACGCAGAGGGAGGGAGGGTTTCACGTGCCAATGCTGCTCAGCCGCAGCCGGAATCACTACTTTTCCCTGATGCGGCTGCCAAGGAGGTCTTCATGAGCCGTCCATGTCAACCAAGTGCACGCCGCTGAGGACAACGGACAGAGAGGACAGAGCTGTGGACGGCACGTCGCGTCGCATTCCTCCTTCGCATCGACGACCGACGGTCTCTTGGGTGCTCTCTCCTACGCGAGGTTGGGGAAAGTGAATGACCCGGTGGACAATAAAGCGGTGTCCTCGCAGTCGTAGGCGACCGAAGAAGACGACCGACGACGGCCTCGAGCGTCACGGGTGTTGGCGATGTCACCGGTTACATTCATGATTCATCCCTTCCCAAATATATATCTGCTACAGTGCGTAATGCACCAGCCAGCCAACTATGCAGTTTAGAACACACCCTAACTACGTTAAGATATACTCTCACCGTTTACGTTTCAGATTATAATAAGTTTTGATTTTAGTTAAAGATAAACTACTGTAAGTTTAACTAGCTCTATAAAAAATAATATTTATAACACTAGCATAGTTTTATTAAATCTATAATTGATTAAATTTTCATAACATATTAGTTTTGGGTTAAAAATATTACTACTTTTTTCTACATAGTTAGTCAAACTTAGAGTAGTTAAACTTTAACTAAAGTCAAAACGTATTATAACCTGAAATGGAGTGAGTAGTAACTTATTTATGAAATTGCTAATATGTATATGTGATTATAGATAACAAAAGGGACTAATTAATAGGAAATTTCTATAACAATCTTAATGATGGAAAGATAAACAAGCTATTCTTTATTTGCTATGTATGAACATAGAAAGAACACAGTGTCCATATAGTCCCTACATCGCCATGATAAGTTGTCCATTTTTTTTAAGCTTTTCATGATAAGCCCAAACATCATAATGTCTTAAAATTTTTAGTTTTAAGTTGTATGTAAAAATAAGAACATCATTATATATTATTAAATAAAAATCATTATGTATTATAGTGCATGATATGAAATATGCTATAATTGCATTGCACGCAGATTTACTAGTAATTAATAAAATGGCATCATTACTTACTCATTTATTTTTTCTTTCCTATGACTGTCCAATCCAATTATTCAAAAGTAAGCTGAAAACATGATAACCATATTAAACAACAAAACTTCTTAAGAATCAATAAGTGTACAAATAGGTAGGCCGTTCAAGCTCCGAAAGCAATACCTTTGGGGTTTTTTTTCTTCTTCTTTTTCTTTGCCTTTGCCATATTTGGAGAGTAAGATGGACTTTACCCCTTAATTAAAAAACTGCATAGAACAGCTAGCAACAATAAATCAGGAAATGTTTAATGTGGGGTTACAACAGCTAACTGGAATATACAGAAAAAAAATTCCGCATCAAAACATTAAGAGGCTCCAAAGCTTGTAGGTTTCTTTAAAAAATTGTTACTCCCTCCGTCCCACCCAAAATATCAAAATATAGTTATTTCTAGCATTTAAAATTTATCTTAGAATATAGCAACCTCTTCAATTACAATTTTTTTAACCAATCACAACTCTTCAGTTTTTAATTTCATCACTTTCTTAATACCTACATCCAAATCTAAAACTTAATGTTGCAGCACCTTACAAGACAAGGTTCCGCTTGTACGTCTCCGCGATTAAGTGGATAGCAAATCAAGCTAAAGATGCATGTAGCTAGCGGTACTCTCACCTTGTCCTTCCGTATGGCTAATTCGTTGGGGGAGGAGGTGGCCGTACGTCGTCGAAGTCGGCGTACGATCTACAGGCAGGCCGGCCGCGGCGACGAGCGGTGGCAGAGACAGGGGCAACGCTAGCTAGCTAGCTCCGCCGGTGGTGCGCGAGTGCGACCCCACCACGTACGTTGTGCTCGCCGGCCGCCGGCTGAGCTAGCTGCGGGTCGGACTTCGACGAGGGGCGGGCAAGATGCTACGTACGTTGCGAGCAGCAGCTGGTTGGGATGTTAATCTCTCATGGTGGAGGTCAGGTTAGGAACTTGGGATGTGGAGGGGGCTTTGGCTCTGGGAGTGCTTGCTGGGGCCTTTGGGGGTGTGGGGTGGTGCCTTATGTAAAGGGACAAGGTGAGAGAACACCCTAAACCCTACTCTAGTAGTAGTCCATATTGTTTTTGTTTGCAAACTAACAAACAAAATACTACTGTGCAAGTGGTAGTAGTCGATGAAGTTTATACTCCCTCGATCTGTTTCAAAATTGTATCTTCGAATTCGTATTATCTTGTTTATAATAAAATAAGTTTAATTTTAGGTAATTATTATCTCGGTGTTTGTAAAAGTGGAGGATAATTGTATTGGACTAGATAAAATTACATTAGCTGGTTATTTCAATTTTAAAAACTTCTATTTAAAATGTTTTTTAAAAATATACCGTTTAATAATTTAGAAAGCGCGTTAGAACCCACAATATTGACGAATGGGCTTTTTTTATTCACATTTTTTTATTTTGTGAACCTTTTTCAAAAAATCAATATATATTTTTCTATAATTTATTTTGAAAACTAAACCTCTTGATCACGTTAGTTTCACTTACGTGGTGAAATAACGCCGTCACGTCTTATGGTGTGGCAGTGTGATGTGGCCATATCATATGGGGTAGCGTGGCTAAAAGATACATATACGAAAATAAATTTTGAGAATTACAATATTTTAAATAAAAAATTAAAGTGGCTAAAAAATATTGATTTGCTAATGCCAGTAGACAGTAGTATTTTGTTTGTTTTAGTTTGAAAACGTGTCTTTTATATTGGCCCATTGGTTTTCACCTAATATATTCTAGTCATGTCTATAGTCGAATTAAATTTAAAATATACTGTTGATTTGTTTTTTTCTTAGAAATATTCGTGATGTAAATTTTTTAGCATAAATATAACGTCGATCTCGCACAATTATTGTGCGAAAGTGACGGGAGCGTGACGACGCAAGCGGTCTCGCACGGTGAGAGCGCGAGACCGCACGGTATGGAATCAGCGAGACCGAACGTCTTGTCCAGCAGCGATGCTTAATTAGTTATTAATTACTTTAATAATGATTAATTAATAATAATTAGTGATTAATTATCCTAATTAGCGATTGATTAATCACTAATTAGCATAATTAATCACTAATTAATAATTTTCAACAGTAGCTATCGCTCATTGAGTAAGCGAGACTGCTAGGTCTCGCGGTTTGGCTGCTCGAGACCGCATGGTCTGACGCCGCTGTCACGCACGTCCTCGATTTCACCATTGTTCGGTGTCGCAGTTTCATCGTGCAAGACGAGCGGTCTATCACCGTGCGACGCCGTGTGGTCTCGTGCTGTTATCGTGCGAGACCGTTCGCGTCATCACACACACGTCATCACGCACACGTCACTTTCGCGGAATAGTTGTGCGAGATCGACGGGATATTTCTGCTAACAAATTTACATTCCGAATATTTATGAGAAAAAACGAATCAACAGTACATTTTCAAATTTAATTCGTCTATAATCTCTGTTATTTTTTAAAAAAATTTAATTCGTCTATAATCTCTGTTATTTTTATTAAGATATAAATCTATCTTAATTTTGTTAACATAATTTTTAAAAATACTAAAAAATGTATTTCGTAAGAAGACTTTCTATATAATAGTGACTCTAAAGTATTAGATAAAGCATTTAAGCTTGAAATAACTAAAACTCAATTAATTAATTATAAGCTAATGGTTTTTTGGTTTGTGTAATCATACTTAATCTCCGTCCGTCGTGTCGCATTTCGGCGGGGCCTTAAGATGGATGGCGAGATAACTCTTATTTATTTATATGGCACTGCCACTACTTAAGAAAATAGATTTCCCATGCGGCCAAAAATAGTTTTTTCATACGGAAAAAGTACCGCCTTTATGCAAAGGTCTATGAAAAATCATTTTTGAAGGTGACATCTCCAACTTCGCAGGCGGTAGATTCACCTGCAAAAAATCATTTAAGTGAACAAAAAAAATCCGCACCACCCCTACTCGCCGGCGCTGCCGCCGACCTCCCCCTCCGACCAACGGCTCTCCTCCTCCTTTTGCCACCGCTGCCCGAGAGGAGCGTTGCCGCCGTCGACTCCTCCTTGGCCACTACTGCCTCCGCCACCGGCGAGTGGATCTGCGAGGAAGGGAGGGAGGATTAGTGCCGCCGCCGCCGCCTCCCCTCCTCGTTTGCCGGCCGTCCTCGCCGCCAGGGCGGGAGAAGGTGGAGCCAAGTCACCGCCTCACCTCCTCGTCACGGTCGACGCCTCCCCTCCTCGGCGGTGAGCCACCGTCGTCGCAGGGAGTGGGAGGAGCTGAGCCACCGCCTCACCTCCTTATCGCTCCGGTCTACCCTCCCCTCCCCAAGACTGGCTCAGGGCGGATCGGCGCGCCCAGGGCGAATCGGCGGCGGATCCAAATGGTGTCGTCGTCATCGTCGTAGCCGGTGGTGGGGCCCAGGCATCAGTGCCGTCGTTGTCACGGCAGTCGTCATCGCACGTCACGGCCAGCGGTGGAGGCGGAGGCTTAGTGACGAGGAGGGGAGGCGGCGGTGGAGGATTTCTGCTGGCAATGAGCTAGAAACGAGAGAGAGAGAGGAGGGAAGGGAAATGAGTGGTGGAGAGGATAAAGATGGTGGAGGAGAAGATAAGGATGATACTTGGATATTCTTTCCACTAACATGATTTTTTCAGCCGGATCAACCATATAAGGTTGCACCTGCACAAAAATCATATTTTTCCAGACGGCTGCGAAAATATTTTCGCAAGCGGACCTCTTAAGTGGTCCGACTGAAAAAATTGATTTTTGCAGATTGGGTTAAATCTAGACGCTCTTTAGCTATTTTCGCAAATGGTTAGAAGGTTTTTTTTCGTCTGAAGAAATAAAGGCCAACGTTGTAAAAAATCGTTTTTCTAGTAGTGTATTATCTCCTTTCAATAATTCAATCCCATGGTGCTTCCCATTTCCATTTCTCTTGTTTTCTCTAACTTTCTTTACCATTTTCTCTACGAGTGACAAGAGACGCCGATCGTTCAATTTTTTTGTGGAGTTTATGGATACCCCATACCTACACGGTATGTATATTCCGACTAGGTATGGGGTGCCATGTATAGATAGAATATCTTTAAAAGGACTCGGGTTAAATTCTAAACTTGTATGTCAAGGAAATATCCGAGATCCTAGTTAGTTACGATTGTATTTTATCTGTAACTACCTATTCCGTTAGGGATATGGACTGTATTTTGTAATACGGACTCCTTCCCTTATATAAGGAGGGGTCCGGGTGCCTCTAGGGGCACGATTTTCTCCCAGATCATACGATCAATAATATACTCGGCGGATCAATCCCCGGACAGGAGTACGGTATTTGTTCTTGATTAAGAAGGCCTGAACCTGTATAAAATTCCTTGTCTCTAAATCCATCCACTTTTCCAACTTGATAGCCACCCCCTTTTAGTATTGCCGAAATCTTGTTTCGACAGTTGGCGCGCCAGGTAGGGGTAGCGTCAAGTTCTTCGCCGATTAGTGCGATGGGTTTCATCTCCGGCATCGACGACTTTGTCTTCCCTCTCGGGCAGGCGTTCCGGTTCGGCAGCCTCGACTTCATCACCAACGACTTCGACAAGATTTCTCTCCTCAACTCCGATTCGAACCAGTCGGGAAGAGACCAGATCTCCGCTCCGTTCGGTATCCCGAACTCGGCCGAGGTCTACCCCAAGATCATCTCTACCGAGTTGGCTCCAAACCACTCGGACGAGATCCAATCTACTTCAAAACGACCCAATCTAGACGATGGGGCCTATCCGCCAATCCTAATGAAACTTCCCGATGATCTGGCTGCTGTCTTCACCACAAGGGCGTCTTCTCCCCGTAGGCCTAGGCGGGACCCGGCTTCAGCCCTGGTCTGGCCTAGCTCCAGGGAAGTCAGCGTCATACTCCAGCCACTCGGCACGGTTTCGACGGAACAACTGGACGGCTACCTCAGCTCCCCCGGCGTCGACTCACGACCAACGGAGATCGTGGAGTATGATGACTTCGGCTACCGCTACGACTACCGCAACCTCGACGACTTCGACGAAGGCTTTGAAGACAACTACACGCCTCTCTACTTCGGCATCTTTATGGCTGACAACGAGACAGAAGAACAACGCAAAGCCCGAGAAGCAGAAGAGCTACGCATACAACAGGAAGCCGAGCAACGCTGCCTGGAAGAGGAGCGCCAAGCACAAGAGCGAGAACGGCTGCAGTGTGAGCAACAGGAACGCGAACGGGCTGCAAAAGAGGCTAAGGACCAACGACAACGGGCCTTGGACGCCGGGCGACGAGCTCGAGAGCTTATCCGGCAGCAAGACGTCGAGGGAACTGCGGTTTTTCGCACCCCTCAACAGAACGCGGTTACTGCGATCACCCTCCTCGACACCCTCCTCAAGGAAGACGCACTCAATCAAGCTAATCACGTCGTCAACATCTTGAACCAGATCAAGACCATGATCGCCGCTTCGGTCCCGGTTAACCCTGCAAGCGTCCGCACGCCGACTGGCAGCTGAGTTCCCCTTCTTCGATCTCAAGACTATCATCAACCAAGCCTCAGCGCCGCCGGCGCGGGATCCAGTCGCAGGAGCAGGGGTCACGGCGAGCGATCTGTCCACTCGCCTCCCGAATGACACAGGGAGCGCCGAGTTGAACGGCCACGCTCCCCACCTCGCAGGCGCCTGTTGATGGAAAACACGAGGCCTGGGAGATCTGCTTAACTCCAGTGCAGGTCCAAAACTCGCCTTCGGATGTATGAGCGTGCCAGTTGATTTGATCCTGCAATCAACAAGAAACAAAGACAAAGAAACCGTGATTAAATCCATAAATGATAGCCGATCGGCTAGATGCCGATGACATATCATTTATCTTTGAGCCGATGTCATATGTGAATCGATCGGCAATTGTTAAGGAAACAAGTCAGAACTAAATCTGCTCGATCGGCTGTAAATATCAATGATGTATAATCCTTATATCGACATATACTTAAATCGAGTGATTGGGATAGATCGGTCACCTTGCCGAGACAATATAAATCACTTAGATTGAAATATATATTAA